TACCCCGACCCAGATGCAGGGCCTTGCACTTGGCCTTGTTGAACCTCATGAGGTTCACACAGGCCCACCTCTCCAGCCTGTCCAGGTCTCTCTGGATGACATCCCGTCCTTACGGACATATACTGCTTCCCCTTCCTGAACTCATGCAACGCAGCAAAAAGCAAATCTAAACTTCAATGAACTTAAAGTACAGTTTTTCATACAGACCAGGCATAATAAAGACCACTGTGGTTGCTGAAGCAGATACATTGCATGCTGCCACAGTAACAGAATATTAGGTAAGTAAAGTAAGGGATTAGCCTGATATACCTACATAAGCTACATAAACTTTTTATCATAACTAACAACTGGAAAAGATTGTGTTGGCTTTAGTGAAAATAAAAGCCATGATAACATCACGAAATACACATGTAAAATGGGTATCTATGAAGAGAATGACTGGTCATTTACACCCTTTTTGCTCCAGTTACAAATAGAAAGAGTTAAACTCAGTGAATGTTCCTTTCATTTGAATAAGCTGCATCCTCATTTTCTACTCAAGCAGTTTTAGAGAAAGCTACTTGGAATGGATCTTATTTTTTAAATAAATTTTAAATAATCTTCTTTAATGACGTATGAAATTATTGAAGCTCTTATAAACACAGGAACATGGAAATTCGTCTGCATGAAGGTTGCACCATGGTTTCAGGTTTATCATTTTTTTGGTAAGAAATAGTGTGTAATAAACTATAAAGAAGAAATGGCAGTACTGATTAAAAGAATACAAGGAGTCACCTTTATAAGGATGAGAGGCAGCAGAGGGAGAGCACAGAAACCTTTTTTTCACATTGTGTTCATTTCTAATTTCCCCACGAGAAGCGTGATGACTCAGTTCTCACCTTCACAAGAGCTGCTCTGTAATGATGGGGATATGTAGGGAAGGAGGCATAAGCAAACCGGACTGCTGAGTGACAGGAGCAGGGTGCTGTCTCCTTCTCTAGCTACATAAAGCAACGTATTTTACATAAGGTGCCCATCTGGCATTCTCCTTGCCTACTACAGAAGAACGTATCTAGTAAGGGATCAAATAAACTGCAACAAGATTGGACATATAAAATCAGCATGCTTTTTGTTTTTTCTTTTCCTTTAAAGTTTACACACCATCAGTACATCCTGAAGGTCCTCTGAACTAAACAACTCATAAATATTTGAGTAATACTAAATGATACAATTCAACAGACTTGCCTTTGTATTACAGAAGTAGTACAGTCTACAGTTAAGTTCAAGGAAAACGGAAATGAAAATGGGTGTACTTGATCCAGTAATGACTGATAAATTGACATTAAATATTGAGAGCATACATGGTAAATAAATATGAAAAATACACAGGAAAGGGGAAAATAAGATCAAAGTTACCACAGAACTGAGTTTGCTGAGGTTTTTTCCAAGTTGAACCTTTTGTCAAGGTATGATTCACATAGTACATTCATTGAGCTGATTCATGGTATTTACATCATGTTATGCTGGCATTACTGGCTTCAGCAAGCTTGCGTAACGGAACTACAACAATTCTTGTTACAGCAAATATTTACAAATATTATAACAAAACAGCACATCCAAGCAGCTAAATCAGCTTTCTACATTTCCTTATTAACATTACCATCAGAGGGAATTTCTCTTTGACAGTCTCTGCTATACAGTTAATACTTAAAATTACAGATAATACTTAAAAGAAGTCTATACTGTAAACACATGCATACACTCTATTAGGATTAGGAATTCAGTGAGAACAGTGTAATGGGATCTATATTTAGACTGGAAAAAAAGAACTTCAATTTTTTTACATAATTACTTTTTGCACTTCTGAAAGATTGGAAGCTTCCCTTTTTTCCATTGATCACCATTCAAGGTGAAGTATAGTTCCAATTCCTATTCATCAAGGAGATAAAATCATTACTTAATTTTCTATCATACTGTACCATGAAATCCCTCTTTTGCATATCAATTCATTCTATTAACTATTTTTTTGTCTTATGAGTCATTTTGCTCATATAACAATAACAATATTTGAGCTTTTAGAATTTATGTTCAAACCGAATTATTTTATCCAAGGAAAGATCACTTTAAATGAAAACTACTATGTACTTTTCCAAAGGTACAAGAATTTCAGAAAATTAAAAAATGCTTTGATAATCAATGAGCCAATTCAAGAACTTATCTAGATTTTGTTTGTGAAAAACTTTATATAAACAGAATTCATTCTGCCATTAAAAGTTTGTAAATATCCAATAGCTATCAAAAAATAAGTGGACAAAAAGGAGAAACTGTGTATTTTGAATTTTTTTTCCAGTTTAAGTCAGATCATATCCCCATTTTCAAAACTTCCCATAAGCTTGCATAAGTTAAAAATACTGTTCTGAAAATATTAATCCAAGTAATTTCTGAGATTAAATACTATTTTCAGTAACTCAATAAAAACTGATGAAAAATGGCATTTCTAAGCCAAGAGATGCTCCTATCAGCAATCTCACCTGAACAAATGATTCCTAGGAAATCAAGGGCGGACAGACAGTCTCTCTTCCAACTTCCCAGCTTTCTAATAAAAACCCTGAGAATCCTAAGAATTTCTGGGGTTTCCAGATGTATAAATGGAATTGCCTGTATTTCAGTGTGTGTCCATTGCTTGTTCTCCTTTTGCTGAACACCACTGTGAGTCTGGCTCCATCTTCGCTCTGCCCCATTTTGCATTTATACAGATTGCTAAGATCCCTGAGCCTTCTCCATGCATAATGGTCTGAGTTCTCACAGCATCTCCTCATAGGACAGATGCTCCACTACCTTAATCATCATGGCCCTTTGCTCAACTCTCTCCAGTATGACCATGTCTCTCCTCCAGACGGGAGCCTCAAATTGGACCCAACACTCTAGATGTGACCTCACCAGTGCTGAGCAGAGGGGAAGGATGACCTCTCTCAACCTGCTGCAATGCTCTGCCTACTGTAGCCCAGGAGGCTGTTGGCCGCCTTTGCCATAAGGGTGCATTGCCAGATCCTGTTCAATTTTTTTGTCCACCAGGATGCCCCAGGACCTTTTCTGCAGAGCTGCTTTCCAGCTGGCCAGCCCCTAGCCTGTAAAGGTGCTTCCCAAGTGCAGGAGTTTGCATTTCCCCTTGCTGAATATTTCATGACTCCTGTTCACCCGTTTCTCCAGCCTGTCAAGGTCCTTCTGAATGGCAGCATATCCACCTGGTCTATCAACTACTCCTCCCAATTTTGCATCATCTGCAGACTTGCCGAGGGTGTGCTCTGCCCTATCATTCAGATCATTATTAGAGATTTTAACCAGCACTGACCCCTACAGTAGACCACTAGCAACATGGCTCCAGCTGGACTTTACTGTTTGAGCCTGGCAGTTCAGCCAGTTTTCAATCCACTTCACTGTCCACTTTTCTAGGCTTTACTTCACCAGTTTGTCAATGAGAATGTCACGGGAGATAATGTAAAAAGCCTTGCTGAAATCAAGACAAACCATATCCACTGCTCTCTCATCCACCAGGCTAGTCACTGTAGAAGGCTATCAGGTTGGTCAGGCATAATTTCCCCTTTGTAAATTCATGCCGACTACTCCCAGCCACCTTGTCTTTAACAGGTTTGGGAATCCTAAGCTAGAGGAGTGTGAAACCTCCAAGAATCTTACTCAAAAAAAGATTTTCAAAAATTCCAGGCCTCTAGCTATGCAGATGAGAGCCCATTCCCTGTCAAAACCAGAACTTGCAAGCTTTCTGAGCCCTATCGCCTTGCTACATGCCTGAAAAATGTAGTCAGGTAGTTCTAGCAATACATATAATACACAGTATTTGCCCACTGTAGTAACCAGGAACTTCAAACCTGTTGCGTTCCTGGAGGTCTACAGAAGCAGCATGCAGAATACCACAGCGGTATCTAAGCTCTGTTTGAGCTGTCTAGCTTGTCTACAGTGACAGAGATGATCTTAGCATGGTCTAATTTACCCAAACCAGAAGCTAAGCCAATACTGGATCTTGTAACAACACATGAGCCACCAGAGTGAACAACTAGCCAGTCACTCACCATGCCCTAATAGGACATAGGGTTGTCTCTGTTTTTCTTAAATAGGACCATGCTCTTTGGAAATATATATTCAATCCAAAGGGAACTCCCTTTCCCTTCATCAGTTTCTGGGCTTTTTATCTTTCAGTTCTCATTAAGGAGCCAAGCAAGGGTGCCTATCAGTTTACAATAACCATCAGTGTGCTCGATATACAGTACTTAATGTAAAAAGGAAGAGCTCCTGTTTTTAGATTGAGTTGATCTAGACAAAGACAAAATCTAGTCTTTATGTTAATGAAACCACTGTTACCAGTACAGGAAAGGGTTAAAAACCAGTTCAACTAAGTATTTATAAGTTAATGGAATACCTCAATATCATACAATCGCTGTATCAATTTAGGTAGAAAGTTGCTGTATGAAAAAAGAGTGAAGAGCCCTAACGAGTTAATATGTAATTTTCAGTCTACTACTTAGATTAGAAAGATGGAGCATATTCAGAATTGAACTGCAAATGAAAGAAAAAATTGTCTATTCCTTATAAAGTCATTCAAAATTAATCTCTGTTTGACTCTGTAATATACACAGCTTTTTATAAGGTTCTCCATTCTAAGAGAAGTAAATAAAGGTAAATAATGCATAGCATAAGTATTCCAGTGAACAGGCTAAAATAACTTATCTAAGCACATTTTATTCATCATAAAACTTTTCTTAAAGACATCTAAAACTATAGCACACAAGATTCTTAATTAAACTCAGGAATATGCAAACTGACAGCCACAAGGACAAATACATACCCTTAATAATCGATTCAGCTGCATACAGATCCCGCTTGTAGGTCACCTAAAGGACAGACAAGCCTCATTAGATTTAACACAGCAGGAAGGAATGTATAACCAATGAAACAATGCCCCAAAGGCAATTTTTTACATATGAAATACTATAAGCAAATGATATTGTCAATTTCTTAATTCTGGTAAAATATTACTGGCAAGTCATGAGAACAGAAGTTGCAGAAATTACCAGAGACTCTTGATAAACCTTTCTTTAAATACTTAGATCTGCTTAGAAGCCACTTGAAACCTAAAGCTATTTTTAACCCTTTGAGGAATCAAAAACATGATATTGCATCTATATGCACACATCCATTCTACTCTATAATTTTATTGTGAAATAGGTTCATTTTTTATAGAACTTGTGATCAAATGACAGCCAGGGAGAAGTCTCGTTATTTCTTTTACTAATATAGGTGTAATTTTTCAGTAGCACAAGACTATTACTGTTAATGACAGTCCAGTTAATCATTGGGAGTCAGTGAGACTATAGTAGGATTAAAAAACATCAAGATTTTCTTGAAGACATTAACCAGATCAAGTTAGATGTACAGTAAGATGCTGAATATTTAGTTGGTACTTGCAAAAAATACCTTTCATATCTGCCTTTGTACCCTCGTGGTGGTTGAAGTCCCAGTATTAGGCTTTGCAAATAAAGTAACAGAAAACTAAAGACAGCATCTACCCAAGACATTAACAGTCTTTACAATGACATGCAGTGACATGAACTGATATACGAATAACTCCTAAATATTTGTCTTTGGTTTTACTGTAACTTCCTTTTATGTTAAATAAAATATTACTGGATTTTCTGCATTTGTTTCTCTAGAGTCTGAATAACTTTTTTATTTCTTTTTAAATGGACTGAATAGGATTCCAAAAGCTTTAGTGCTGCAAAGTAAATCTTAGAGCAGAACATACCATTGCAGGTATTAGTATTTTAGTCTCCAAGTAAATGATTATTTGATTTTAACAAAAGGATTCTTGTAACTGCTTTCCTTTCCATCTCATAAATTAAGCTGTATATTGTAGTTAGAAACAGATGAACAATATTACCTTTCTCATTACTCATAATTTCTCCAACGAATTACATTCTTTTAAAATTAAAAATGAACTTATTTCCCTAGAGCTTGTCCTGTAGGACAAGCAGCCAGAAAATGAATCTAGCCTGAGAAATCTTAGGTGTCTGAGTTTGCATACTGTTGGGAAGAATCCATGTCTTGAACTTATATTTAAGGATAAAAAAAATTATTGAGCGATTAATTTTGCTGCAAGGTTTCTTTCTAATTACGTGTTTCTAGAGGGCTTTTATACTGAACTTTCCATAAACCTGTAACAGACTACCATCTAAAAACCTTTCAAGAAACAAGACTATCTAAGCTCTGTCAAAAGTGATCTCATGTACTCTAAGGTTCACTGTCTCTTTGAGGTGCAAAAGTATTTTTAAACAGTCTGATTTTAAAAAGAAGTTACTTTATAAAGTAGGTCCAGTCTTCAAGAAAACAGTACAGAGGACTAAAAATTAAGAATGAACCTTTAAAGTCACTTCTGAAATTCTGAGCCAGACATTAGCAAATACTTATTAGGATCGTTTCCTAGAGAAGTAAGTCACCTGAGACTTTATCAGACTATGAATATACATTTCTTTCATAATCTTTGATCCTATAAACTAATTTCAGATAAAAGCTCCTATAAGCTTTATGAAAATAGTAAAGTTGACAGACAGAAAAACCCTGCCAGCTACCACAGGTGACCACCACTTACCAGTCAGGGAGGGAAGGATGCTCTATATCTCTTCCAATATTGAATATGATGCTAAATCCAACCAAAGTTTCTCTTAAGGTATGGATATTCATAACGTCACTGGATTTTCTTGTGTCCATTAAGTGGTGTTCTTGCAATTTAGATAAGACTTATTCAAAAGGCAGGCAACCATGACAGACACACCCTTTGGTTTAATTCTAGCCATTGATTGTTTCAGTATGAATTTGTTTTAAGCAACTTTTAAGGCTAGTCAACACAACAGTTTATTGTTCTGAGCAGCTATACTGCTGCATCTCTAGCTTTACTAAAGTGGATTTGCATTCTAGGCTCACCCCAGCTGGAAGGAATTCAGATCCAGCCAAATCAACCAGGAAGAATACTTTAACTACCACTCTACACCAGAAACAAAGATGGCACTCTCCACTCTCACAGCCCAGGTGAGGTGCAAAAATCACTGGAAAGAGAGCAAGCAAGAAAAATGACACACGGGAGTTCTCTCTCACTTTGCAGAAGAGATATCTTTGCCTCATCCATTTCTGTTTTTTCAATATCACATTACTAAGCTAAATCTCTACAGACTTATTAAATTACCATTTAATCTTTTTCATGTTCTTCTCTGAACCTTCTCTATGTATCAACAGTTGCACAGAGCTTGAATCCAGATTTGGCCACAGCATTCTAGATGCACTTGTAATACTAGGACATCCATTTCTAATTTCATATTCTTGGGTTTATATCTGTGGCTGACATAAGGTATTTTGCCCACAGTGGAAACTTGCTATCCTCTATGATTCCTACACAACTTTCAAAGTCACTGCCTTCCTAGAACAATTCTCTAAATACAGACTATACTTTCTTATTGTTTCTACAAAGCTTCATTATATTTGGCTACAACAAAAAGCATACCTTTTGTTTAAATTGTTTGCCAAGCAATCCTTACCAATGTTACTTCTGATCAATTATATTTTTATTTACAAATCCTTAAATCTTTGTGTTGTCTGCAAACTTTATCAGACAAATGTTAAATAGCTTAGAGACAATAACAGTTTCTGCAGAACTATATGTGGTGAGAATTATCTTTTGAAACATATATCCAATTTTTAATCTATTTAATGAGGACTAGTACAATTACAGACATCTACTTTTAATTAAGATGCCACATAGTAACAAGTCAAACTTCTGCCAACCATACATTTTATCAGCACTACCATTTTTATCAGCCAAGACTATAATCTTGTAAAAAAGGCCTGAAGTCAATTTCACAAAATAAATAAATTCCATCTTGGTTGACATTATTTACATTAGTCCCCTAACTATTTATTAATCAAGTTCTGCCTGTAGCAGTGCACCCTTTTGTTCTGTTGATCAATATCAAACTCACAGGCTTCTGATTGCTCGGATTCTCTTTGTGTGACAATGTTTAAAAGCCTTCTTCAAACTGAATTAGCTTGATGAACATTTCAGATTTACAAAACTGTATGTTAAATGCAAAAACATAACTCTATATCAAACAAATACAATAAAATTATGGTCACATACACAAAATGGACTGCATTTTAGCTTAATGAAGTATTTCCCTCTGTCTTTCTGAGTTATCACACAGATCTCTTTTGTATGGGATATTTTTGTAGGACTGGAAAATAACCTGTTGCTTTTAGAAATGGTGAGGATTTCTCGCACTATCAGCATTAAGTCTTCAAATGTGTCTCAATCTTTTAGAAGTGTTCTTACAATGCAGTTGTCATCTGCATTATACACACGCATATATATATTAGACTTCAAAAATTACATTCTGTTACATGATTTTATATTTTATTGAAGAGGATATTGCCCGAAAACATTTATGGTCATTTTGTTTCAAAGGTGTCAAGAACAGAGAAACTGAAAATGTGGTGTTGATAGAGTCATTCTGTTTCCTTTTTTTGCCAATCTTACAAATAGTTATAGAGTAACTACATTTAAAATAGAACTTATAAATATTTATAACACTGAAGTAATTAGAATGTTCCTGCCAGGTTATTGTCACTACAAAGAATGATTTTAATTTTGTAATTTGTTAGCGGAAAGTAAACAAACTATCTCTTCCTTTAGCACCAATGGTAAGTGACTTTGGAATGTTACTTTTTCTAATGCACTGCAAGTAGACAGCGCTCAGGTAGAATTAGAGTTAATTCAAGAAAAGAGTATATATGCATATGTAAGTAACTTTTTCCCACAGCTTTGAGTCATTTAATGTTATCTAGGTTGTGCATCAAATAAACTGAATTCCTGCAAATATCAATCAGATCTGCTCTTTAAAGATTCAAGGTCCACATAGGATGAAACTCGTTTGTAATACTTGGACTTTAGAAACTGTTCTCCACCTGTTAATTGACTGCATTTTTTGTTACACATCCTCTGAAACCTCAGTTGAACAATGATTATTTATTTCAGTTCTCATTTATCTGGATGGAATATCTTTTTGCCTCTTGTCAAAAAAAAAAAAAAGACTGGGAACACATCAGTTCTTGGAATATGAAATATAATTTACCTAGGCATTGAAAAGCCTTAAAGAAAAAACCCAACGTATTACAAATTACATTATTCTGACAGCTAAGGAAAGACAATTCTGCTTCTGAAAGGTAATTAGTAACAAACAGCAATAGCTCCTAACCATTTTGTAAGCAAGCATCACTTGAGAAAATCATCAGTCTTCTGCACTTCATCAGATTGCACAGACTGAGCATGCGTGATCAGTTCTTTAATGGTACCACTCCAAGTCACCTGCCAAACACCCTGGTACAGAGTGACCAATACCACGGTGCTATTCAAGCAGGAAGGAACTATCTTCCTCTGTACCTTCTAATCCGATAGGAGTATTTGCTGCAGAAATAATTTACTATTTTACAGACCTTCTCATTTTTATGCCTTTGATTTTGAATGTCTTCACAAACCACAGAAGACACCAATGACTTTTAGCTACAAAATAAGACAGGAAATAGGATGTGAGAAGGTCTGAGTACTTAAATGATATAGCACCAGTGTCTGTGTGTATACTATATATAGCGTATTTGCTGCTCTGCACCACAGTATCTGCACATAAACGGCTGCTGTTGCTCCTCCCCACCAGTGGTGCAGGGGGACAGGGAACAGGGGTTGCAGTCAGTTCATCACATTGTCTCTGCTGCTCCTTCCTCCTCACACTCTTGCCCTGCTCCAGCATGAGGCCTCTCCCACGGGAGACAGTCCTTCGTGAACTTCTCCAGAGTGAGTCCTTCCCATGGGCTGCAGTTCTTCACAAACTTCTCCAGAGTGGGTCCCTTTCCACAGGGTGCAGTCCTTCAGGAACAGACTGCTCTGCTCCAGCGCGGGTCCCAAGCAGTTCATAAGCCCTGCCAGCAAACCTGCTTCAGTGTCAGCTCCTCTCTCCACAGGTCCTGCCAGGAGCCTGCTCCAGTGCAGGCTTCCCACAAGGTCACAGCCTCCTTCAGGCATCCAACTGTCCTGGCACGGGGCCCTCCCTGGGCTGCAGGTGGAGATCTGCTTCACCATGGACCTCCCTGGGCTGCAGGGGCACAGCCTGCCCCACCGTGGGCTGCACTAGGGGCTGCAGGAGAATCTCTGCTCCAGCACCTGGAGCACCTCCTGCTGGACTGACCTGGGGGTCTGCAGAGCTGTTTCTCTCACATAGTCTCACTCCTCTCTTTGGTTGCAGTTGCACAGGTTTTTTTTCCCCCCCTTCTTAAATATGTTATCCCAGAGGTGCTACCACCATCGTTGATGGGTTTGGCCTTGGCCAGCGGTGGGTCCATCTCAGAGCCCGCTGGCAGTGGCTCTGGCAGACATAGGGGAAGCTTCTGGCAGCTCCTCACAGAAGCCACCCTTGTAGCCACCCCTCCGCTACCAAAACCCTGCTACGCAAACCCAATACAGACTTTCACCTGGTCCACAGTCTTTTCAGGTTTTCTACCTGAATCTCCTTCTCCATTATATTCTCCAGTATGCCATCAGCTAAAGACATCCAATATCCAAGTACCTACGAAGAATTCAGTCTTCACGTGTTATCATTTTCGAAGTGTTTACAGGCCTCTAATTCCAGTGCTACTGCAATGGATCCCACGTGGTAGGAAGTTAACAGCATCAGGATTTTGTTTCACTAACAATGTTGGAGTGGCAATAACACTTCAACAATTCTCTTTTAAAACAGAGATGTGCCCAAGCTCAACTCTGAAGTGTAACTGGGGGCTGGTTACCAGTGCTGTTCCTCAGGGGCTGATACTGGGGACAATACTGTCTAATATCTCTACTAATAACCTGGGAAAGGGGAAATACCCTCAGCAAACTAGTAGATGACAACAAATAGGGAAGCATTCAATGTGTTCAAGGGTAAAACATTCATTTAGAGGGATCCTAAAAGGCTGGAGAAAGAGGCTGACAGAAACCTTGTGAAATGTAACAAACAAGTACAGCATCTGCAACTGGGACAGAATAACCCTGTGCAGCAGTCCATACTGATGCCAAAATATAGAAAATAGCTTTGTAGAAAAGGACCTTCTGGACAAGGTGAGCATAAGTCAGCAGTGTGTAGCAGTGCAGGAGTCCAGCTGACTGGGCTGTATTAGTAAGGAAGTAGACTTTGTTACAGGGAATACAGGGATTATTCCCCTGTATTCAGCACTTTTGAGAACACAATGGAGTACGGTTTCTAGATTTCAGCTCCCCAGTATAATGCAAGAGGAACAGGAGAAAGCCCAGCAGAGGGCTGCTAAGATGATGTGATAGAACTTGGCTTGTTCAGCTTGAAGAACAGAAGATGAAGGGTCAGGAAGGGTCATAATTAATGGCCATAGAGAAGAGTAAACTAAGACTTTTCTTGCAGATTTTTCTGCTGGCCTTTCATCATTTCCAAGTGCAAGAGGCAGCAAGGGAAATGCTGACCAAATATTATGAAAAAAAAAGTCTCCTCCATATAGGGGGATATGCACTGGAATTGTTTTCCCCACAGAGTCTGTGAAATCTCCTTTCTTGGAGATATTCAAAACTCAACTGGACAAGGCCCTGCACAGCCTAATCTAACTAACCTGGCCCCACTTTCAGCAAGATGTTGGACCAGACGACATCTAGATATTTCCTTCAGTCTTAATTATACTGTCATTCTAGGTCAAAAGACTACATTCCATCTGCTGGGCATCTACAGATAGTAAAGAACTAAATAAACATTGTAAAGAACTAAACGAATATTATGGCTGGATTTTGTTACCCTTCATGTAAGTACCATGCTTTGCAATGAAAACAATGAAACCATCCAAAAAGTGATGTAATGCAAATATGCATGACATAATCTGTCCCTTAGAAGGCTGAATAGGAAAACAGACGATATACTGTTTCAGAAAGACTATGTCCCCAGAAAGATATTGAAAGTTGCTGTATGCAACCAACACATAAGCAAATTTTACTGCTAAATTGCACAGGAAATTTGCACTGCAGATTCAGGAAATTACCTTTCTGTGTAAGATTTACTGTCATATTATTAGAAATCATGCCCCATTGGAGGAAATTTCCTGTCAAAGACAGATGGAGTGATTTGAGCTGCTTCCAGATCCTTCAATGTGGTAATGAATAAAATTAAAAAGGAAACACTTAAAAATTGCTACACAACAGCTACTGAGAAAGAATAATGTCCTACCATCCAAAACAATGAAATGGGATACTTTTGAGCAGCAGGGATGTATCCTTTGGCACCTGTATACACACCTGCTTTGTCAGTCGTCAGGAACCTACAGATTATCAGACAAGGTGAATGATGTTTAACAACATTTTAAGAGATTGTTTCAAAAGGTCTTAAACATTACAGTGTTACTGAATGTAATGAACTGTTCTAAAAATCAAACTCTTGTTAGCCAGCTATCTGGCATCAGAGAAAAAGTGATGTCCTCATAGGAAAAGTGGAGGAAAATAGAGAAAAGATATAGCAATAGCAGGAGAAAGCTCATCTCATAAAAGAATGTCCTTAGCTTTAGAGATTATGGCTTTATAGTTTTACAGATTCTCAGGTTATCCAAACACCTAGTTGATTTTCCTACTTCCAGATAACTACTGTTTTTATTGATTATCGCAGGTAACATCTGGCCAAGTCTGTCTACAACAATGAGCTCTAAAAAAAGCTCATGATAATCCAAAAATAATTCTGAAATGTGGAAGAGAAAAGCCTAACTATTATAATTGAAAATGTATCTGAATTTTTATGGTAATACGTGAATTTTATTCATTTTAAAAGACATATAAAAAAATAGATATTATTGCCTTTACCTTCCAGAGGTCAGCTGTTCCTTCAACAAGTTTGGCATTTGTTTTGCAGTATTTCAGAGCCAGATGCAAACATTCAGTTCCATAATCCAGGTCATAGTCTGTACACTGTAGTAATTAAAAAAGAATAAATATTCTTAATTAGTCTTAAAGAAATCATACTTTTAAGCAATAACAGATTTATTAATTAAACCTTACATCTCAACAGTCCTGTCCAGAATATTACAGGCTGTAGTAGGTAGGTAGGTTCAGGATAGATCAGAAATAAAACCCTTCCAAGAAGCTTATGCCAAATTCTAGCTATCCAAAGTGTTACAGAAGTACATAAACACTTTATAACCACAAATTAATTCAGTTAGGTGCTGCAAGTATCTTGCTACACTTTTATGTTGTTAACTAAATCAATGAGGAGTTACATGTATAAACAAATTTTTGATGGAGTTGAGGCCCCACCAAAAGAAATCATCAACCTTCTAGTGACAAACTTCTGAAGTATGTGAAGTTGTTAATAAATTGTAGAAGCACGACTCATTAAATGCCTTGTCCTTTCTAGTTTTTGCAGCATCAAAAGAGGATAGTAGTAACTAAGAACCTCTGTATTCCTTACATGTTTCCCTCTGTATTTTTCCCCAATTATCTGCACACAAAATAGCAGTTTCATGCTGCTCCATGAGCCTTCCAGATTAAAAAAAAGTTTGTCCACTTTTTAGTCATCTAGAACAGACATTCTTCTCTCAACATACCCTTCCCAAGCAGTTTGGTTTCCTACAGTTGGTGATTATAAGAATCCTATTAATAGAAAATTGAGTAGGGAACAGAATCTCTCAAGCCAAAACATAGGTAGGTACAAAAGCAGGAACTGGGAGCTTATCAGACAGGACTACCTCAAGATGAATTGGCCTGATTAAGATAAGGAAGTTCTAGTCTATTTTCATATTGTAAATTACCAGTCCACCCAGAAACATGAATTACATGTAACAAGGAAGGATCATTTAAGATAAGGTCTTTCATAAAAATGGATGTATTTGATCAGACCACAGGTTGACTAGCTCAGTATCCAGTCTCTAGGAGAGGTTGACAATGGATAGTCAAGGATAAGTAAATAAGAACAAGGCAATCATATATTCTTACTTTCCCAGAATACTCCCTTGGCCTCATATACAGCTATTATCCTGGCTTAGGAAATCCCTAAATTAAGAAGTCCCTGAGGGACACACTGAACCAGAACTAACTGCCTTAACAGTCCTCAGTGAATTACAGGAATCCTGAATTCACGCAATTACTTTTTGAATAGCAGTATTTTTTTTAGCACCTGCATCAGGGAGCATCTGATTCATCACTCTCTCCATCACATCCTCTGTTGTTCTGACAGAAAAGGGAGTGCAAAACCACCTGCTCAGCCCTTCAAAATGCTCCACCACTCCTCTTCTCACACCTCTCCACAGGTAAAGAGATCAACATCTATTCAGTCATTTCATGTGCAGAAGCTGCTTCAAAACTTTGATCAACCCTTTTGCCCTCCTTTACATTTATTTACACTTACCTATCAATTTTATCATAACATCCTTCTTAGTTAGCCCTCATCTCTACCACCTAGAAAAAAATATGGGCATTTCTACCTCCTGTTCCAAATTATTTATGAACAAAATGAACTGCACAGGTCCCAGAACAGATCTTCACAAAACTCCACTGGTGATTTACTGCTACGAAAGCTGGTCGTGCCCTTTACCTTGTTTCTTATCTTCTAACAAATAATCTACTCTGGTAAATCCTTATTCTTATCCCAAATCTGTTCAGTTTCCTTAAAAAGCCTTTGGTAAAAGCATCAGTGAAACATCTCATTATGCAAGTAGGATGTTATCAGCTTCAGCAACCTCAAACAAGATGCAGGTTAACTCAAAGAACAACAATTAGCTCTGCAATGCATAAGCTTTCCTTTACAAAAACTGAAGTAACCCTTCCCCTCTGTCAAATTTAACCATGCATCTACAAATTCGTGTTTTGAATAAAATGTGACAGTCCAGTTACTGTGCTCAGTAATTCACAGTCTCCTCCAGGATTCAAGAATTCAAAATTGTCAAGAATGCAAAAGTCTAAGAGGGTTAAAGAAGATCCAAATGAGAGTGCTGCAATACAACTTGCCTTTTTTTAAATATGATTTCCTCAAGAAGTTTAATAAAAAAAGATGAAGAAAATTTTAGTTTCTATTCTTGTTTTATAATATATCAGTGAAATTCAAGGAATTCATCAGCATTATACATCTGAATTGTATTACTAACAGAGACGTCTTAGAAAAGTCATAGTTATCCCTTTGATATTACTTAAATTCATAGAATCATAGAATGTTTAGGGTTGGAGGTCTTAGAAAAGTCATAGTTATCACTGTGATATTACTTAAATTCATAGAATCATAGAATCATAGAATGTTTAGGGTTGGAAGGGACCACTAGTGGTCATCTAGTCCAACCCCCCTGCAGTGAGCAGGGACACTGCTAACTAGATCAGGTTGCTCAGAGCCCCGTCCAACCTGGCCTTGAACGTTCCCGGGGATGGGGCCTCCACTACCTCTCTGGGCAACCCGTTCCAGTGTTTTACCACCCTCATTGTAAAAAATTTCTTCCTTACCTCTAGCCTGAACCTACCCTGTTCTAGTTTAAAACCATTTCCCCTTGTCCTAACACAGCTGGCCCTACTAAAAAGACGTTCCCCATCTTTCCTATAGGCCCCCTTTAGGTACTGGAAGGCCGCAATCAGGTCTCCCCGTAGCCTTCTTTTCTCCAGACTGAACAAGCCCAACTCTCTCAGCCTGTCCTCATAGGAGAGGTGCTCCAGCCCTCGGATCATTTTTGTAGCCCTCCTCTGGACCCGTTCCAACAGTTCCATGTCCTTCTTGTGCTGAGGGCTCCAGAGCTGGACGCAGTACTCCAGTAAATTCATAATCTTTGTCATTTTAGTTTGTCATGACTGCAATCCAGAAGAAGATCCTTTTAAACCGCCCACTTAGAAAGACAAGTAACTTAAGTGCTATACTTCTCCACAGAAGTTTGAGTAACAAAACAAAGCAGACACAAGAAGCAAGATTAACTTAAAAAGAAAGACTTCTTTCAGAATACTAAAGAAAATAGGGGTTTAAAAAAGACAGTTTGGAATATTTTTAAATTAAGCAGAAATTATTTATATTTTTTAAATAAGCAAGATACAAAAAAAACCATAAAGGAAAAGAACATAAAGGTCAACAGAAAATAGAAAGGAATAGGGAACTCTAGCTCCAAAATATTAAAATGGAGTGATCTCTCAAGTAAAGAGGTCCAGAGATAAATTGCCAATGAAACCAGAAAAAGCCTAGTAACTTTCAATTCCAAATATTTTTTTATAAAAGTGTTTCCTTTTTTTTGTTTTGTTTTTAAGGGAAATTTTCTGGTAGAATGCAAATTATTTTCTGCTAATGTGAATAACATACAGGGTTGAAAAACCCCATATTTTTCATTTGCCTCAGAGTGGAAGAGAACATTTCAGAAAAAAAAATCTGTGAAAGAATTTACTTTGAATTCAAATTAACTCACGTTTTTAAAAATATGGGTAACGAATGATACTAGGACAAGACTAAGCAATTCCAACTTTTTAGCAAGGTATTAATTACAGATAATTAGTAGGGAGTGGAGAAGTTCCATAAACGGGCTAAAGCATCTTGAGGGTATTGCTGGCTTCAAGGGATGAAATATGACACAAAGCAAAGTAATAATTAAAGACATATTTCACTAACACTTGTACATCATGACATTTACCACTCTAATTATCTGTAATTGTTTAAACCTAAACATATTGTCACAGTGTACTCTTCTGCAAGGCTGATGTCAGAGGAGAACAATGAAATGGAAGTATCAGCTCAAGACCAGCTTAGTCCGTACATTATCCATATGCTAAACAGCTCCACAAGTGAAATTTTAAATCCATATTAAAGGTGCAGATTAGAAAGCTTCTCTGTTGCTCTAAGAAATTCAGTTAATAAATTAAGCATTATCAGGGAGTACCTATAATAAAAAGGTGCAGAATATCTATGAGGAAAATTCTTACTGACCCAGGCATGCAAAAATTCTCATCCTAAGTCTTCTGTATGTATTTCATTGTACGTCTAGAGCCAATGTACATTACAACAATCTGTTTAAAACTCTCACTATTTCCAAAGTCTGTTTTTAACCAAAAGGCTTTTTAACATAACGTTTGCCAGAGTCCAGTTAACAGTACACGGTACAGTACTGAACTTGACATGCACACATAGCCTTGTGAAACAATAGACATAGTTTAAGTTTCAGACCACAGACTTTAAATGGTGGAAACAGCTGGAAATATTGGCACAAAACATATCCACAAAAGAAGGAAAACAGATTGGTTTAGCTCTTTAAATGACACAGAAGGAAATACGTTATTTAAAAATGCTTTTGAACTGTTGAATATTCAAAGGCATTCTAAAAGGTAGTTTTAGACACTGACTTTTCTGTGGGTGGTTTTTTGTTTGTTTGTTTTCCAAGAATGGATGTTTGAATAAAGTGTTATGGGTGGAGTGAGATTCAGATTTTATTACATCAGGTCTTCTTCCCTGCCTCCTAGATTAGATTGAAAATATTCTGATAAATATTACTTCCTAAAATGAAAACTTTAACTGTTGTTGCTTAGCCTTAAACATGGAACAAGGGGTTAGAGCAAAGAGCAGCTAAGCAGCCTGTATCTCCCTGGTACTTACTAATAGTCCATAAGCTAATTTGTTTCCAGTACAATACTTTGAACAAGTAAAATTATAAAGCAGTATTTAACATTAAATTGCTTTTACTGTTAACATGCACAATTCTACTGTATCTTCATACTGAGAAGAGATTTTTGAATGTATACAGCAGAACACAGATGCAAGAAAAATTTTCATTACAGCACTGTCATTTTCCTATTTTATTCATCACTCCTTCATTTTATAATAAGCAAACAAAAAAATCAATATTCTTTATGTATTAACCGAAAGAAAATCTTCAGATTTGCTCCTTTACACAGGTACCTTTAAAACCTGTATAGAACCACTTCTTTACACTTCTTTCATCATTGGCTGGGTCATCTTTAGT